TTCCTAGGATATAATATATATTATGTACAAAATTATGATATGTATATATTATATATAAATGCCATTTTGGTACCACCTACCTAATTTTTTACTACCTATACTATATAATATATGAGTTATATATTGGTCTAAAATTAAATTAATAATATTATAGATAATGATACTGCAAAAAATATAATAATGTTCTACCTATCTCATAAAATTCTGATTATTGTTTCCGAATAATTAATTAATAGTATTCTATTAACTTTTGTAAATTACTGTTAATTACTTCAAACTTTGTTTAAAAACTATCATTCATTATAAACGACTATCAGACATTACGTCTGCTGTCAATATTTTTGTTATTTATTATTACTTTCCTCAAAGTTTTAACTAAACAATTAAATTAACAAAACTTGATATACTACATTTTTTATAATTGTAAAAATAATACGCCTATGACTTAAGACTTAAGAGTATATATAAGTACAATAATTATAGCTGGTACCCTACAGCTACAGACTTACAACCTACCTATACTTATTCATCACTACGACACTACCTATATTATATACAATTATAGTAATAATTTATAGTTTTATATCATCGATTAATTATTATACAGTTATATTGTTCAAAGTATATAATATATAGTTATATATTATAATGATTTATGAGTATAGGTAACTTTTAACTTTTAAGTAGGTACCTACAAAATCCCTGTTCCTATTATTAGCTGTACCATTGATTATAGAATAGACTATTATTCTATTCTATAATCAATGGCTGTACCTATGACATTAATTTTTAAGACTGCAAATACCTAATAATATATGCATACATCATTCTGACTACCATAATATAAATCTAAATTATGTGCGTACATAACGCGTGTATTATTGTGTAGGTATATAATATTTATCTGTAGGTATCTACTAGGATTTCAATATTTCATTCTCACAATCTCACCTACTACAACAGTAAATACAACTATGTACCTATACTAATAAGTAATAAGTAATATAACTAAATTGGTATTCAGTATATTAATATTGTATCGTTACTTTGACTTGGCATATTTAATTCAACACAAATCATTGTGAATCGTGATATTGTTATTAAATGTAACTGTCTGTATAGACGTATAGTACATACTGCCATACTGTCATACTGATTAGTGATTACTAATAAGTGATAAATATAATATTTACTTATGTGTGGCAGACGTCTATAATAATAATATTATAATATTAAATTGGTATAATATTATTTTTAGCCATTGCTTATCGCGTTATAGCTGCAGCCTGCAGGCCGCCTGGGTTTTTTTTTTATAATTCTGCATACCCCGCCCTTGCCACCTTCGGACCTTCCTACAAGTTCAACTGTATTATGTTCGTATTTGTCCGTTGTCGTTCGATTTAGATATCACCGTGCGCGTAGAGTGTTGTAGACGTCCGACGTCCATATAAGTATATGACCATATCCAATACCCTCGTGGCTTCGTCAAGTTCGTCGTCTTTTCATAATTTGTCTTGCATACGCGTTGTGCACTATATTATTATATAGTGCCGTTCTGTGAGCGTTCTGTACGCGTTTGCTGTTCCGCCATCCACCATGTCTAGCTCGGAATCAGAAGATATGCGGGAAATGGAGCGAAGTAATGATGTCAGGTAATTATAATAATTTGTACAAGTACTTACGACCTACCGTAAATATTATATTAGTTTTAATATAATATTGTTACGTATCGCTTTTATTTAAAGTGTTTCTACCTGTGTATAATATGATTTATCATTAAGTAGCTATGCATTACCTACCTATTGTTTATACAATAGATAGGTACGAGGTACCTAATAAATATCAATAATTAAGCTGGTAGAATATTTTAATTAATTATTATCAATAACGTTTTCTAATTGTCTCCATGTATACGTTGGTACAACATACTTATAAGTTATATTATCTAAATAGGTAACAAATTTGCGTAGGGAAGGCAGAAGCAATTTTGTTGTTTTAGTATTATTATAAAAAAAAAAAATAGCGACTGTTTACCTACCTACCTATACCTATAATAAATATTATTATCAAAAGCCAAAAAGTATAAGATCTGTGTTTGCATGTTCATTTTTTTTCAATTTTTCAATTTTTAAGCTAGATACCTCCTATAGGAATTTTTATTTTGTGATTTTTCATATTATTATACATTTATACATTTATACACATATCCCATAAATTAAAATATTCAAATAAACATGAAAACACAGATAATATTATTCTTAGTTTTAAGTTTAATAGTTTGTCAATCCATTAACCATTGTATTATTAAAACTTACAACACAAAATTGTTTCTGATTTCTGTTGAAAACATTTTCTGTCATAAGTTATGTATAGAGAGAACACATGCTTCTAAAATCATACAAAATAACATGTATAACTGGCATGTAGGTATATGTTACCATACCGGTATACCTCAAATCATTAATATATAGGTCCTAACCTAACCAGAGATATTGTGATGATCATTTTATCATAACATTAGTCTAGTATTTAATTGTTAGCTACTATTTAGTATTCATAGTTTAAAAGGTTAGGTTTTCATTAAAAATTCATTTGTAAAATAAACCAATAGGTAATTAACTCAATAATTCCTCTCAATATATAATAAAAAGTTTCTGTTTTAAATAACATTATTTATATTTTTGTTTTTATTATATTTAGGGATTTACGTCCAGTAAATGATATTTCCACGAGACAGTTGAGACGTAGAATTCAAAAGCGTATAAAAAATGTAGGAAATATGTTGTTTCCTAATGTTATTAATACTAATATAGAAACTAATGATAATCATAAAATAATAAATCCGCCTATTGATGATAATGCATCTTTGAACCCTGAAAATATAAATATCATAAATCAAGAAAATAATTTCTCTACTCATAATAATGATTTAAATACTATAATACCATTTCAATTTAACTCAAATTCAAAAGAATTACCTTTTAACGAATTATTAGCAACATGGGCAGTTAAAGAACGCATAAGTCATACATCTTTACGCAGTTTATTAAAAGTTTTACAAACTCATCCTTGTCATAGTAACTTGCCTAATGACCCCAGAACATTATTAAACACTCCTCGATCAATGCAAATTAAAGAAATAAATTTTGGACATTATTGGCATTACGGCTTGGAAAAAGGAATAGTTAACATCTTAAATAACTTTGAACAATATCAGAATGATAAAATTGAACTTATGATTGGTGTAGATGGTCTCCCAATAAGTAAGTCATCTGGTAGTCAATTATGGCCAATTTTAGGAAAAATTTTAGATTTTAACAAAGTATTTATTATTGGCATATATCATGGTAGTTCGAAAAAACCTGAATATGCTTCTGAATTTTTAGAAGATTTTGTTAATGAAGCTAAAGAGCTTATTGAAAATGGCTTGGAAAATAATGGTAAAATATATAAGTGCTGTATTAAAATTATTTGTTCAGATGCTCCCGCAAAGTCTTTTATTTTGGGTGTTAAAGGACACACGGGTTACTCGAGTTGTACCAAATGTTGGGATGTAGGCAAATATATTAAAACAAGAATTTGTTTTTCTGATATTCCAAGTAGAAAGCGAACAGATGAAGAGTTTATCTGTAAATCTGATGAAGAATATCATTTGAGGACTAGTATATTAGAACAAATACCACAACTTGGGCTAGTTACTAATATTCCATTAGATTATTTACATTTAGTGTTACTAGGAAATATGAAGAAACTTATTATTTTATGGTGTTGTGATGATTTAAAAGTTCGTCTTCCATTCAGTAAAATAAAAAAAGTGTCTGATTTTATAGAGAAAACAATTAGACCATATTGCCCATTTGAATTTCAAAGAAAACCAAGAGGTATATGGCATTATCGCCAATGGAAAGGGACGGAATTTCGCCAATTATTATTGTATATTGGACCAGCTGTGTTTAAAAATATTTTAGCTCCCGAAGTATATAATAATTTTCTTTCGCTACATTTTGCTATATCAATTTTAGTTTCTAAAAAATTATGTTCTCAAGAATGCCATTTAGTTTATTCACAAGAGTTATTACAACACTTTGTTTCAACTTTTAAAGTAATTTATGGTGAACATCATGTTTCCCATAATATACATGGCCTATTGCATATCGTAGATGACGTTAGAAATTTTGGTTGCTTAGATACATTTAGCACATTTGCATTTGAAAATTACATGCAAAAATTAAAATCACTGTTAAAAAAATATGATAAGCCACTTCAACAAATTGGACGACGTCTTCAAGAAATAGAGACTAATTGTGGAACTGATTTACATAATAATTTTAATGAGAAACAGTCATATGTGTTAAATGTTCATACAAATGGACCACTATTAGAAGGATGTGTAGACCCTCAATATTCAATATTTAAACTTAATGGTATGAAAATAGTTATTCAAAATAAGGCTAATAATTGTTGTGGATTAGACAGTGGAGAAATTATTCTTATGGAAAATATTTGTTACAACACAAAGTACAAAGACCATGTTGTGATTGGAAAAAAGTTTTTAGAAAAAAGAGCTCTGTACACTCTACCATGTTCATCAACTCATATTGGTATTTACGAGGTATCAAAATTATCACATAAAACCGATATGTGGTTATTAAAATGTGTAATTCTAAAATATTATTGTATTCCAATACTCGGAAATTATAACAGTTTTGCAGTTTTCCCTCTTTTACATGTAGATCAAGATGAAAGACCACAACTTTAGCTATTAAACAATTAAACATAAAATAAAAAATAAAAAATTTTATATTTAAAAAATATTTACTGTATATAACTGTATATTTACCTAATAATGTATATTTTAAATAAACATTAATATCATCAATATATATTTTAATGTTGACAGAAAATATGTTGTGGTTGAGTTTAAAGATGGAGTACAACTTGTTCCAAAGAATTGGATATTATTCAACAAGTCCCTATCTTATTTTCCAAATTGTACAGAAATGAACTCAAGAACATATGATAAAATGATCTTCAACAGTGTGCCGTATAAATCTAATTGGAATACATTTAAAATTGTTAAAATTTGGGCTTCATCAGGTACTAGTTTAGTTCATAGTTCTATAATCTAAAATTATAAAAAAAATTAATATTTTTTAAACTTATTACTTGTGAAGATGATTTCATTCGAGCCAAGCAAAAATTAAAGCTTGCTATTGAATTATCGGAAACTGAAGATATAAATTCAGAATATGATGAAAAATTATCTAAAAACAAAAGAAGAATATTGGCTGCAAAAAGAGCTAAGCATAAAAGGATTTCTCCCGTAAAAAATATTCAACAAACAACTCCAAAAAAAACAACTATTTCTCATTCTTTATCAAATTACCCATTACCGAAACATCCATTTTCAAAATCACTTGCAGGTAATATATTGCAATATCTATGTAATGATTAATGAATGCCCTTTACAACTTAATACGTACTGACTATACTGACATCAACTAAACACTTAAATTATAGGTTGTAACTAAATTGTTATGTATTAATGTATACTTCAGATGATGATGATCAATTTGTTCAGCATGACAAAGATAATGCAGTCCCAGTTTGGTCAATGTTGGATAGCTCCAATTATAAGACGTCTTCAGATAAAAAATCTTACAGTTCGTTATCATTATCAAAAAGTATGTTTTTACTTTTAGTAATTATAAATATTTACTATATTTAGGTAATTCATATGCTACACTCCTACTCAATAATTGATTAAACTTCATGAAATAGATATCTATAGTATATGTGCTTTTCTTAATTAAATTCATAAAAATATTATTTTCCTAAGTTGATGACATATGTACAAAGTGGGGACACAGAAACGGCCAACTTTCAAAGTGTAGTTGTACCTAAAGTATAAAAAGGAATAAAAGTCAATTATTAATATAATAGAAACAAGTACCTACATATAACGTACATGACATTTTTTTTTTAAAAATATTTCCTTAAAATGACCATCTATTTTTATTTTTCCTCACATGTTTTCTACTAAACTTTGGTAGGTAGCTTTGCCTTATTGGCAATTTCTACTCTAATTTTGAAAATTTAAGTTATTTTATTTTAACATATAACAATTATTTATTGAAAAAGCATTGTGTTTACCACTCCAGTGCTCCATATGTTTACTAAATGGCCTATTGATTTTAAACTAATGATATTTAAGTGAGCATTCTTATTTTAAACTATTATTGAGAAAACACATTTTTAAAATCGGCCGTTTCACAGATCTATCCTGTAAATAATATTTACCTAAACATTTTAACAAAATAATTATATTATATTTTTACAGCATTAAAAAAGTCACCATTAAAACAATCAATGGGCGGTGATCATCAAACAAATAATCATATTGCTAAAAGTATAATATTATTGATTCGTTTTTATAACTATTATTTAAGTTTATTATGATTCAAAATATATTTTTTAATTTTTTAGGTGCTTCCAAATCTCCTATAAAGTCTAAGAAGATAGATGTGGACAACATAATATGTATTAATAATAGTCCTCTGCATAGTAAGTATAGTGTATATAGTTGCTATAAATTAATTCATAATATTATATTAAATTACTTTTGAAGTTTCTAAAAATCATTATTATTATTAAATTAGAAAATTAAATATACTTGAAAGTATAATACAACAGTTAACTAATTTATATAAATATTGTTTTTATTGTTTAATTGATGAACTAAAATATATTTTTAGGTGCTTACAAATCTCCTATAAAGTCTAAAACAATGGATATTGAAAAAATAAGTTTTAATAATAGTCCTCTGCATAGTAAGTATAGTGCACATAGTTACATAGTTTAAGTATAATACAATTATTAACTTTTTATTGTTTAATTGATGGATTAAATTATATTTTCAGGTGATACCAAAGGTCCTATAAAGTCTAAAATGATAGATGTTGACAACATAAGTATTGATAATAGTCCTCTGCATAGTAAGTATAATGTATACACTCTGATTTCATTTAAATATTAAAATAATTTTAAACTTTCTAAGAATCATTATTATCAAATAGATCAAATTTTGAGCATGCCACTGTCACCATTCATAATTTCAACTGACCTTAAAACACCCAACACAAAAACTATTTCTATTAAAAAGAAGCTATTTTCATCTCAATCACCAGCTAAGCAGAAATCTAAAGGTAAATAATTGCTAAATGATTCATTATACCTATTGATAATATTCAATAATACATACATTAATTTTGTGTCGTGTCTATACTCTACTCAAAATAAGACCGTGACTAAGCAGCGACCAGTTTTTGTCGGGCAGCGGTCAGACATATGGCCAGATGCCGTCCCCACTACGGCGACACGTCGGGCGCTGCCACGGAACAAAGCCAGTCTTATTTTGAATAGAGTATAGATGTTTGTAATTTATTTATTAATTACCTAGTTTAAAATTATCAATTTATGAAGTTTGTTAATGATATTTCAGACAAAGAACAAAGCTTACAATATACAGTAAATATTGTTACAGAGTTAAGCATAAAAGTGAATAAAATTTTGTTGAACTTAAGTAGACAAGAAGAAATGCTTAAAAATATCTTACATAAAGTCCATTTTAATAACGAGAATGATGAAACTATTAATGGTGATGATGCAATTTTGGAAGGTTTTCCCATAGACAATCTTGATTGTTTAAAAGATATTAATAATAAATTAGCAATTGATAAAATGTTTTGTAAGCAGTTGGTATGTATAAAATACTTTTATTTTATATTAATTTTTTTGTTGCCATGACTTAGTTGTTTTACTTTTTATAGATGAAAATGTTAAAAGAGTTTCGTGGTTATAGTGTTAGTAAAGTAACAAAATCCATAATGGACACAATATTTACAAATAATCTTGGAAGGCAAATTTCTCTCACTGGAAAAGGGCCAATGAACAAAAAAGAGAAAGAACCACTTAAGAGCTCTATGATTTTCAAAGTTATAACAGGTTAGATACATATTAAAATAAAAAATATTTTTAAATTATTTATAAAGCGTGATCTCGATCTGAAAATATATTATATTGTGTCATAATAAATAATTATTATTTTGTATTTTGTTTTAGGAGTGATTCTAAAAAATGTCAAGGATTCTAATGTCTCAACTATCAACAAGGCGGTTTCTGGATGGCTAAAACATTCTAAAGAGCGCTATCAAAGGGATGTTCATAATAATAATCATGTTAATACATAATTATATAATCCTTCAGTTTTATCTTATACATTATATTATACACTTTTTATTTAATATTAATATGATGAGTACATTATTTTATTTTTATTTTTAATTGCATAAAAAGAATTATGTCCAATTACATTCATAAACAAATACATTCAATTTTATAAATATCTATGTATGTAATATTTATTTTATATTTTACATTATTATCTTTTTTTTTTTAATTTCATAAAAGGAATTATGTCCAATTACATTCATTAACAAAAATATTCAATTTTATAAATATAATGTATGTAATATTTATTATATTATATCTAGTAGTTATTATATTGTTAAAATAAACAATGTATATATTTTTTATTTTCACTATTTAATAAATATTATGTACCTTCATTAAATGTTAAAATATTTTATTTATATCAATGCTTATAATGATACATATAACATAATATTATAGATAAATGATGTATTGAGATGAGGAACGTTGTGAGCTTTTTGTGGTAAGAATATATGCCAATAAGATTTTTAAAAGAAAATTTGAAAATTAATATATTGTGTACCAATTTTCGTATTTTATAAAACTATATTAATTACCTATCAAAACAAAACACAATTGACAATACATGGATTCAAATTAAAAAATATATATTAAATTACAGGTTAAAATATGAAATATATGCTGAAGTAGTGGCAAAAACAGAAATTTTTTTAGGGGGCCTTATTCCCCAGTGTTTTTTTAGTTTAAATACCTAACCTATTAATATTTTTTAGGGGTTTCTGGGAGTATTGGGATATAAGCCTCCCCCTATTTGCGTCATTGCCCTCATAGGAACTAAAAATACCACAAATAGGTAGCTTTTGTAGTGGATTTAGGAAGTGTGTCGACCATTTTTGGAACCAGTAAAACCTATTTAGGTGCTATTAAGGTATTATCACGACCCAAACAAAACTCATTTAGGTACCAATATGACCCGTATGGGAGTTGAGTTCGGTTCGATTCCTGTTGGGAAGGTCGGAAGGACTGTCGGAACTCGGACATTTGGAAGTCTATGGACCGTCTTAAGACCTTCCCGTACAGTCTATGACTGGAATAGGAAATTCCTGTTGATGGTCTGTGGGTCACAAAAGACCGTCCATAGACCTTCCTGGGAGGATATTTTGGCTATTAGGGTGTGTATTACATTGTCATTGTTTACGTTGTTTATTTCTCCCATCCGATGATAACCCATATAATATTCCGATTCCATTTTGAATTCATAATACGATCCATTCTTATTTTTTAATTGTATTGTACATGACTTCTCCAATAGGTATTCATGTTCAAGAACAAATGATTGAAGTACACTTCCTCGATATGGGGTGCTACATATAATTTGTAACGATTCCATATTACATTCATTGTACTGAAATTGTGGCAAAATTATTGTGTCGGATTGATAGTAGTCTATTCCTACCAGATTCCCTGTATTATAATAAATCCTCATCATTGGACTATTGCTAGAACCTGAATTTCTTTGGATTTTTACTATTTCTATTGATGTCGTTATTAATGAAATCCTTGAAATCCACCTATAATGTTCATATATTCTATATAAAAAAATTTTTCCTTATATAAAATGCCATCGCGAGCACATCCCACGCCGACTTTATCTTTTATTGTTATTATTTTTCTTCTCTTTTTATTTGTGTACCTATTATAATTGTTTCGTATTATATACTATATCTATATCTATACTATATATATATTATACTGCGTTTGTAATGATATCTTAACTATCCTATCCTATTATTATTTAATTACTTATAATTAAAACTTCGTCATGTGTTTGTGATTTCTTCATTATCTACATTATTATCTTCGTAATACAGTTTCACATCGTTTTTGTGTACTGTCACTTTCTTGCGATTTCGTGATATAACTACATTTTCGAATCTAGTACGTCTAGTACTTCGTATGGTCCCTTCCAAAGTGGACTTAATTTATTTCTTTGAGTATGATCTTTAAGTAAGATCATATCATTGATTTTTAACTCTTCCGTATTTGTTTTCTTATCATAATATCGTTTATTTACTTCTTTATTCTTTATTAATCTATTCCGTGCAATTTGATGAGCTTCCTGGAATTTTTGTTTAAGATCGTATACGTAATCATCATAATTGTACCTAGGTTCCGGTTTTGCTTTCAGTTTAACTGGTATATTAATATTTTTGCCATACAACAACGCGTATGGTTGGTACCTTGTGGACGTATGTTCCGTAGAATTGTATACAAACATGGCGTAAGGTAAAAGCTCATCCCAATTGTCTAAACTTTTACTTACGTAGTGTCTTAAATATTCTGCCAATGTCTTATGTGAACGTTCTAGAGCCCCATTGGTCATCGGATGATAACCGGAAGTCTTAATCTTGTTGATTTTTAACAATTTACATACGTCTTTGAAACAATTTGACATAAATTCGGTGCCCTGATCGCTCAAAATTTCGTCCGGTATCCCATGTATACAGACAAAATTTATTACGAACGCTTTCGCCACCACGTTAGCGGTGTGACAAGGTATTGCTACCCCTAGGCTGAACTTTGTTAAATCGCATTGCATCGTGAGTATATAATTGTTACCTAGCCCGGTTGTAACCAACGGCCCTACAATGTCCAAAAATATTTTTTCAAATGGTTTCGTACTAGTTGTAGTAATCACCATCGGATATTGAATATGTTTGTTAGTATTTTTATTCATTTGACATGCTGTACAATTCTTTATATATTCTCTTACGTCCTGCTTTAAGTTCGGCCAGTTAAATTGTTTCTTTATTTTCTTTACGGTTTTGTTGATTCCTAGGTGTCCACCCAATACGGAATTATGTAATTGTTTGAAAATTACTAATTTTTCTTCCCCACTAAACTCTAATTTGGTACAAATTATTATTTCTATATTTGTATTACGAAAAATGTATCTTATCATTGATCTGACTTTTGTCCAATCTAGTCCGTCTTGTCGTCCTAATTGGTTCATTGCTAATTTAGTTAATTTATGTTTTTCGCAAAAATATTTAAGATTTAATAAAGCAACGTGTAAATTTTGGTACGTGGCTAATTGTTTCTTTTTCGTTTTTGTTATTAGAAATATTATGTACCTATCTCCACTTTTGAATTTTACGACATCACCTAAATCTTTATGAGATTTTAATTGTTTGTCTCTACCAAATCGCTTTCTTAATTCGTAATTAATACCTGATCGAAAATTATAATATTTTTCAATCTCTGATACTATGTGGTACTCCGACGGACTGTTTATTAGTTCGCCGTGTACTTCCTTTACGTCCTTATTAGATATTAATGTTGTTTCGAATTTTTGCATAAAATTATCATAACTTTCGTCTTTAATTTCCGTAATATTATACATACGCGATAACGCGTCGACATTGGTGTTTAATTTGCCCATTTTGTATACTATCTCATATTCATATTCCTCCAATTGTAATCTCCACCTTGCCAATCGGGATAATGGGTCTTTTAAATTAAATAGCCATGACAAAGGCCTATGGTCCGTAAGAATTGTAAATTTTCTACCATATAAATACGGTCGAAATGTTTTTACGCCGAATATAATCGCCAAACATTCTAGTTCCGTTGCCGAATAATTACATTCCGCCCTGTTTAAAGTTCTAGAACTGTAAGCTATTGGTAAATCCGATCCTATTTTACCTTGAGATAATATTGCACCTAGCGCCCTACCGCTAGCGTCTGTCGTAAGTATAAATTGTTTTGTAAAATCTGGATATTGTAGGATTGGTTCTGAACACAATATTTCTTTTAATTTATCGAAAGCTTTTTGAAAGTCTTCGTCCCAATTAAATTTTACGTCTTTTCTTAATAATTTCACTATTGGATTAGCAATAGCGCTATAATTTTCTATGAATTTTCTATAATACCCACTAAGTCCTAAAAAACTTTTTATTTGTTTGACATTTTTAGGAACCGGAAAATCCTTTACAGCTTTAACTTTTGCTTGGTCCGGTTTTATTCCTTCGTCACTAATTACATGACCTAAAAATAAACATTCCCGTTGCAAAAAACTACATTTGTCCGGTTCTATTTTTAAATTGTGTATACGTAATCTCTCGAATACATCTATTAATTTTTCATTGTGGTCTTGTAAATTTTTAGCATACACTATTATGTCATCCAGGTATACTAAACACTTCATTCCTATTAACCCCGATAACACGTTTGTCATCATTTTTTGAAATGTCGCCGGAGCTGAACTTAGACCCATAACTAATCGTTTAAATTGATAATGCCCTTGTCCCGTTGAAAATGCCGTAAGTTCTTTTGATTCTTTAGCCAAAGGTACTTGGAAATATCCTGATTTCAAATCTATTAAACTGAACAGTTGACATTGTCCTAATTGGTCTAATATTTCCGTTATATTTGGTAATGGGTGAAATTCGTTTAAAGTTACTTCATTAAGTGCCCTAAAATCGATAACTATTCTGAACTTTTGTTTCCCCGAGGCGTCCTCCTTCTTAGTAATAGTAATAGTAATAATATTTATTTAGCAAACAAACAAAATAAAACAATATTAACAAACAAAATATGGTTGGTTTGCAAGCTCATCCAATAAGCATAGATATGCTTGTAGACGGATGAGCTGGGTTCATGTTATGAGTATTATAAAAGTATACAAATAAAATAAAAAAAGAAAGAAAAAAAGTTCAACATTTAGAGTAGTTACTTCAAAATTATCATTGAACTAAAAAGTGGACATTTACAATTACAACCAAGATAAAATAGTGTTAATATGTTTCTTATACTTATTAAAATTATCAAAATTAGTTAAATTAATATTATATTTACGAAGTAACAGAATTCCTTTAATCATTGGACTTTGTGTTCCAAAATTAGTATTATTTCGTGGAATAATTAAATTACAATTGTTTTTTATTCTAGTATTATAACAATGCAAAGGCTGAAATGGTCCTATATTTACTTTAAATATATACAATAAAACCGCCCG